AAAAGAAAAATAAGTGAGAGTGTGATAATCCAGAATCCAAACAAATAAGTTAATCTCAAATGAATTAAAGTGGTACTGGTAATAATCAACAATTCATGAAGGATGTGTTAACCCAAAAATAAATAAATTGCAGTGTTGGACGCTACTTACAAAGTTGCAGTTGTGTAGTGTCTTCCCATTGAGCCACTTGCTCTGTTCGATCATATTACATACCTCACACATCCACTCACTTTGCGTGTTCATGGTAGTGCCCCAATCCATTAGTGTTGCTACACCTTGCTGAAATGTATGGCGCAACATTTTGGGAAAATAGACTTATTATGGAATGATTGTACTGGTACTAGTACAAATGTACAGGTAAATTTATAGTGGTACCAGTACCACTATATTAATTGTAGCGTACCAGTACCACAAGGACTAAAAAAACATCAATGTAAAGTATCGGGATGAGCAGTTTTTGAAACATTCTTACCGCAAAGTCGTGAGTGAATACCCATATAGATATCGACATAGTGCTTCCGGTTTTCCTGTTCAGGTAGTCGGCGTAGAAGTCAACAAAATTCGTGGTCATGGCGTTGCCAAATATGGCTGACTTTGCATCTGCTCTACTTAGGGAAAAATGGCTCCCGGGAGCAGCGCTCAACACTTCAGCATCATCCCTACCAGATTTCTATATGTGCAGATATAGAAATTAGTGAAATTGACCGCCCAAGGGGAACAAAGCATACATGTCTCCTTCTTCGCAAATAGCATACTCCAACCTTAGCTGGCCAAGTGTTATTGGGGCCAACGGGTCTATGTGTGTTGCGAATACGCTTTCAGAAGATGACTTGGCTGTCAATTTGCCCGATCCCGCGATAGACAGCTTCGGGACAAGTCCTGTGCCATCAAAGGCCCGATAGGGAGACAACATCGCACTACTAGGTTGCCTCTTTGAGCGGAGTATGTAAACTTTGGTGCGAGGCAATGGCTGTTGGAAATCATCGTCAACATCATCCAACGAGAGGTCTGCTTTAATACTTGCCAGAGTCTCTGCTATAGTTACTGATGGGTCCATCACACTCCCCTTCTCATCATCTCTCCTGGCAGATTAGCTGCTAAGAAAAACACAAAGAAATCATTAGGGTGGACACATGATACACTGTGCGTACCTTATAAATGGAAATGGTAATAATAATTGAAGACTTTCAGCCAATGCGTTTTACCTTCAGTTTGCACAGCGTCAACGAGTGTGCTACACTTCACCATCCCTTCACCACCAACCTTCTTTCCCTCAGTTTTAGGAGTGGGTGTGATGATGGCCACCGGCTTTGATATAGTGACATTAGAGTCCAGTGCACTCTCTGTTGCGCCATGCTTCGTTCCCTGGTTACCTTCTACTAGGGAATAAGATGGTAATATTTAGAATGGGCAAATGGTAAACCATAAATGCTTTATGCGACAATCAAAAGTGTGGGCCTAGTACCACTAGAATGGTACCAGTACCACTGAACTGGTACGAGTACCATTTGTATGGTACTAGTACCACTCCACTGTATTGGAACGTTTGTACAAAAAACATTACCTTGTGCAATATCCACACTATCAATTGAGTCATCACCACCTTCCTCGGCGACACTTCGTCCATCTTCTTTATCCTCACCATCTTCATCGTCATTATCATTTCTAATAGGACTATCAACTTCCTCTTCCTCTCCAGCACTCCCTTCTTCGTCGTTATCTTTAGCATCTTCTTCGTCATTAACATTATCATTGGAACCATCACCATCGTCTTCAACGTTGTCATTATTACTACCATTTCCATCATGAACATCATCTTGGTCTTCATTGTCTTCATCACCACCATCTTCATCATCCTCACTCGTTTGCGAGGCTGCCCCATCTTTGCCCTCATCATCAGCAAGGTCAGACCCATCCTTGTCCTCGTCATCACCATCAACCTCACCATTGTCGTCTCCCTCATCTTCTGCAATGTCAATTCGCTCAGCATCCGTAGCATGGAGTTTAGTTATGCGAGCATCACACTTTGCTATCCTCGAAGCGATTGTAGAGGAAAGGTCGAGCAATCCCTGCTTAAGGGCAGTCACCTGAAACGATGCATGGGACAATAGTACAACCATTGCATTAGTATGAGTAGCAGTATCTACTAGTACAGCTGCTACTTGTACCAATACATGACACTAGCAACCAGTACTCACTCTTCAACAGAATCATTGGTACTGGTATCATTAATAATACTGGTACCAAAGCAGTTCTACTGGTAGCATAAATACAACTGGTATCATTAATACTACCAGCAACTAGTACTGGTACCAAAGCAGTGCTATTGGTAGCATAAATACGACTGGTATCATTAATACGACTAGCAACCAGTACTAACTCAGTAACCGAATCATTGGTACTGGTATAAATCATACGACTGGTACCAAAGCGGGGCTACTGGTAGCATTAGTAAGACTGGTACCGTGGTACCAAAATCATTAGTATAAGTATCCATTATTAGTATCCATTACTAGTACCAAATCACAATGGGAAGCCGCTGTCCAAATTAATTCTACTAGTACCATTAATTAAACTGGTACCAAATTAAACTTTTTGGTATAATTCTAGCGTTGTTACTGGTACTTCAATAGTGCTACCATTGCATTGTATGTACCAGCTTACAGTTTTATAGCTTCTGTTAGTACTAAAAATTGTATATTTAAATAGCAAAGAAAGAGGTGGTGTTGATAAAGGATTACCTCTAGTAGTCCCATTTGAGCAATGTCAAGAACTCCCATAGCAGATGCGGAGATGGGGGGAGCAGTGCTAGAGGAAGCTATTCCTTTGCCCTTTGTTGTATTATGTGCCGCCTTTTCCTTCTTGACATGAGTTGATTTCGGCCGTTCCTGGAGGGGCGAAGGATCAAGCCGGATGTATGGGACAACACCAAACATACCATACTGGCGAAGCAATTCTCGACTACGTTTTCTACAGGCCGAGGTGTCCCATAACTTGCAAGACGGGACATCTGTGGTGAGCTGCAAGCTGTCTGTAGTCCTATCAAGGAACCACACCACCAGGACATGCAGATTGCCATTGGTATAGCTCCTTTTCCGGTTAACAATGAAGGCTCTCATCACGCAGTCCCATAAGTAATAGCACCAATCATACTCGACAAACTCAGCGAGCTCATCGTCCTTCAGAAACTCGAGTATCGACGCTTGCCTCACGCTGGCTGTGCTGGGGTTAAATAGGTAACCGAAGCACGTCATCATGAAAATACGGATCCATAGCTTGTCATCCGTCACTGTACAAAGCTTTTTCCTCAAATTCCACAGCTTGTACCTACCGACAGGTGCCTCATCCATGCCCGGTAGTGTGTCTCGTAGCTCATTCTCATGGTGTGAATCAATTTCCGGCACCGTCTTTGGACCACGGGTAAGACCATAGATCCGCTGGACATCTTCCACGGTAAAGGTAAGCTGCCCACCATCCTGCATAGCTATCGACATTGTCTCTTCATTGAATAGCCTAGTAATCCAACACAGCAACGAACTGTCAAATCGTTTCATCTTCTAATTAAGCACACAACTTAGTCCAAGCTTCTTGATAAGCGCCTGTATCTCAGCTGAAATACCCGCCTCCACAATCTCGATGATTGAAGTCGGACTGCACTTCTTATCCAAGATGATTTGATTTGACTGTACAGTCCGTTGCTTCTTCTTCTTGTTGTGACTCTTTGTTACCTCGTCGTGCGGCCGTTTGTTACTAGGCCCAGCACCAGAATCACTAGAGTCCCTCAAGAGGACTTCTACCTGCCGAGAAACATAACCAACAGGTTGTTGTGTTTTCGTAGATGGTATAGCTGGTATCTTTGTTCTGGCCATCCCTGCAACAGAACAAGTAGAATGATATCACTACAATTACTATTAGCAATGTAGAATGTTAATGGTACAATCCATATTCAGGGCCGGCCAAGAGGGTGTGCCGGCCCGCCCTCCGGCACAGGGCCTCCGAATATTAGGGGCCTCTACTTAGATTCGTTAGTTACCGATCGAATTTTGCAGGTTGTTTTTTTAGTGTATGATTGATAGATTATGAACATGATGACAAATTGAATAGATAATTTTAGCTATAATAACAATTGAAAAGGATCTCATGGAGAATACGAAAATCAGAGAGATAATAGATAATTTTAATTTAAACAATAAAGAAAGATATTACATTTTGAATAATGGTATTAAATCCATATTAGTTTTATTATAGTTAAAAGTCAATTTGGATCATGTCTCAATTTTAGAATAGGGCCTACACGATCCATTAGATAGACCTGCACCCACCTCTCGATCAATTTATATTATTTTCATTTCCCCATTCAATTTTTGCTCTATATCCATTTTCTGTTCCCTCCATATTTACTATTCTCCCTCCCTGCTGGGAGTGAGAATTTGGTCTTGGTTTCTTGGTCAAACAGGAAGTGAGATTGTTTATTCATTTTGAAATCATTTTCTGAACTTATGTACTTTATAATTATTTAATAAATTTTATTTTTAATAAATTTATTGATAAAATAATTAGGGGCCACATGTTAAATTTTCGAACAGGGCCTCCAAATATCATGGGACGGATCTGTCCATATTTTTTTTTGATAATGGCGATTGATGCATTAAAAAAAAACCACAAACAAGAAAGTTTACAACCGACGGATCAAGAGAAAAGATCCGCCAAGGAACAAGAAAAGAAAATCCGCGAAGGGGCCAGGCCGCCCCAACCGCAGTAAGCAGAGGGAAACAAAAAAGCAAAGGAAACAAATAAACAAAGGAACCAACTATAGATCGGGAGGAGAAGAAGAGGTCGCGCCCATACGAGAGTCACTTCGGATCTGCAGAGGGCACAAAATATGCACCAGAGACAACCACTCGGCGCTCTGCGAGTCACTTAGAGTGCCCGTCACCCTCACCCAGCTTAGTAAAGTCCTGCAAGTCTTATGAAAAACCACCTGCCACCCATACCTTTTATCATGGAAGCTTCTGTTGTTCCTTTCCTTCCAAAGCTCCCAGGCAAATGCGTGCAGGATACACGCCGCCAAGGAACTCATCCAGGGGAGCTGACTGCGAGGAGACCAGCAGTGTATAATAGAAGCAAAGCAGTCGGGGAAAGGCCCCAAGAACCCAAACAACTGCTGGAGGAGGCACCAAATACTGCTGCTGTACCGGCATTGACAGAGGAGATGGTTGGTGCTTTCTTCAGCCTCTTCGCAAAGGACACATCTGCTTGCAAGGGACCAGCCCCTTCTCTTCAAATTTTCATGAGTTAGAATGCGTCTGTGCATGATCAACCAAAGAAACGCATTCACCTTAGACGGAACGTGCGGTTGCCACACCACCTTGAATGGAAAATTGTCGAGGCCCACCATTCTATCATGAATCAGGGCACGATACATGGAGTTCACCGAAAAACCATCCTTTGGACTGGGGTTCCAAATCAGCTTGGCCGGACCTGCATTAATCAAATCATGGGGTAAAAGAGATAACAAATTCAAGAGATCATTCCTCTCACGATTAGCCCCACCCCTTAGAGAGTACATTAAAGGAAAATCCCACACCACACGCTCATTATCAAAGGATATGAGATCAGACACCCAAGCATCCCGGTTTGAGGATGCAGCCGCAACCCTAGGATAGGAATCTTTCAGCATCTTCCCCGGGATCCAGCAGTCATTCCAAAAAGACACCCAAGCCCCGCCACCCGGGCTAACAGAAGCAAACTTCCAAAACATATTTTCTTCCTTCATAATGCATCTCCAAATTGAGCAACCAATCGGACCTACGCCATTCCCAGCCCTCCACTCGGAGGAAGTTCGAGGATACTTGACATCGATAAGATTACGCCACCAAGAAGATGGTTCCAAGGCATATTTCCAAAACCATTTACACAGCAAGGCAGAGTTCATACAGCCGAGATCAAGGATACCCAAACCGCCTCTTTCCTTGGTCGATTTGCACACATCCCATCAAACAAGATGATATTTGCTTTTATCTTGGACACCTGCCCAAATGAACCTGCATTCCAATCTCTCCATCTTCTGAATCGTGGTTTTCGGGGCTTTTAACAAGGAGAATAAGTATAAAGGCTGACTTGTAAGGCTGCTTTTACAAAGGACAATCCGGCCACCTAGCGACAGAAATTTTCCCCTCCAACCTTCAAGTCTCGACTGAAATCTGAACAGCACCTTGTTCCAACTCGCTGAGGAATTTGGGCTAGCTCCGAGGGGGGCACCAAGGTAAATAGTAGGCAGAAAATTCCAACCGCACCCAAAAATTCTAGCAAAAACATCCGGATTACCAACATTGCCAACAGGGAACATCACACTCTTCTCCACGTTAATTCGTAATCCGGTCACAGATTGAAAGCACACAAGAGTTGATAGGAGGTTCAGAACCTGGTCTTCATTCGCATCACAAAATATGATGGTGTCGTCGGCATACATAAGGTGAGTCACCTCTCCCTCTTCAGATGCTTCATTCATAAAGAACCCAGAGATCAAACCCTCCGATCTCAAAATTTCCAACATGACAGAGAGGACATCCATCACAAGCAGAAAGAGAAAGGGAGACATGGGATCCCCTTGGCGAAGGCCCTTCCTGATATTGAAAAAACCAGCAGCTTCTCCGTTAACAAGAACAGAGAGGATCGGAGAAGTAACTAACCCTTTGATCCAAGAGATCAGCCGATCCGGAAGGCGCAAACGATTCAAGATCTTGAATAGGCAGTTCCAGTTGACGTTGTCAAAAGCTTTTTCAATATCTAATTTGAACACAAGACCCGCTTTTCCACTTTTCTTCCTGCTGTCGATTAACTCATTTGCAATCAAAGAAGCTTCATGAATCTGCCTACCTTTTAGACCGCCAAACTGATTCCCAGAGATAGCCTTCATCAAAGTCGGTCTAAGGCGTTCTGTAATAGTCTTCGAGATCAGCTTGTTTACACTCCCCAAGAGACTAATCGGACGAAAGTCCTTGATGTCTTCAACGGCGTCTTTCTTGGGGATGAGACAAACAAAAGAATGGGCTAAAGATTTAGGAATTTTCCCACTGTGATAGAAGTCCTCGAAACCTTTCAGCAGATCAACCTTAATCAGGTTCCAATGTTTTTTAAAAAAGGCCAGGGAGAACCCGTCTGGTCCGGGGGCTTTGTCGCCCCTGCATCTCTTGACCACATTCCAAACCTCCTCTTCAGAGAAATGATTTGTGAGCAGCTCCCCATCCTCCAATGAGACCTCAAACCGGTGATAGTTGGCAGGAAATGGACGAACAGGTTGTTCCTCCTGATAAACATTCACGAAGTGACCAACAACAGCGCCTTTCAGCTCGTCTTTACCTTCAGCAACCACGCCACCGATCTTAATGTTATTAATAAGATTCCTTCTTCTATTAAAGTTTGCCACCTTGTGAAAATAGCCCGTATTTTTGTCACCTCCCTTAAGCCACGTCTCTCTGGATTTTTGACGCCAGGAAACTTCTTCCAAGTACAACACTTGATCCAGAGTGCTTGTTAGGTTGCTTCTCATAACTCTGTCCTCTTCACTAATAGAGCCTTCCTCTTCCCTTCTATCAATAATTTTAATACCTTCAAGAGTCTCGGCAATCTTCCTCTCCACCCTCCCGAATTCCTCTTTGTTCCAGATTTTGATGGAATTCTTCAAATGTTTAAGTTTCTGCCCGAACAGAAAAAGATCACCAAATCCAGAGGGTTGGATGCTCCACCACCCAGCCATATGATCATTAAAAGTGTTGACCAAGAGCCACATATTCTCAAACTTCCAAGGTCGATGCAGTCTAAAATTCTCCCCCCAAACAAGCTGAAGCGGGTTATGATCAGAAACAACCCTTTCAAGAGCGGACAACCTGCAATTCGGAAACAAAGCCTCGAAACGAGAACAAATAAGGCACCTGTCAATTCTGGACATAGAGGGCGAATCTCTACCACTGCTCCAAGTGAAGGAAGCTCCATTCAAAGGCAGGTCAATAAGGGTTGTTTCGAAGATGAAAGAATTGAATTCCTGCATTAATTCATGACTTCTCGTGCCACCCCGATAATCATCATGAGATCGAACAAGGTTAAAGTCCCCCATGACGCACAGGGGAGACGAGATATTCTGGCAATAGGCCTTCATACTTGAGATGAATCTCTCTTTATCCCTGACTCCTTGCGGTCCATAGACAATCATGATGCAAAAGCTAATCTTGTTCTGGATTTCCTCTAGATGGACCATAAGCCAGTAGTCTCCAACCTGCTCATCCAATTTCTTGTATAGAACATGATCCCAATAAATGACAATGCCGCCTCTACTATCACAAGCGTTTTTAGCCGCCCAATTTGTGTCTCTGCAGCCACTAATCGAATTAACCAGCCCCTGGTCACACGTGTTCCACTTCGTTTCAGTAAGACCAACGATAGACGGCCTCCTTCTTCTTAGAATTCCTTTGATCCGAGCCCTCTTCCGATCGCATCCCAAACCACGAACGTTCCAAGCAATTAGAGAATAAACCATTAGGAGGAGGAGGGAGAGTCCAACACCTTTTGTCTTCTACGCCTGGTGCCTTCAACTGGGATGGTAATCGGCCCCAGTCTATGAAACTCCATCTCACTCTTCGAACGTGGGGCGCGCTTCTTCCGACCATGAGTGGAGGAAGCAGTCTTCTGAATCTGAGTTGACACACCCTCAACTCTATCTTCCTCAATTTGCAGCTGAAAAATGTTGCACAAACGCTGACTGCAACTGATCAGGCTGTCAAGATTCAACGTCGGAGAGAGGAAATCAGAATCATCCTCAACAGGAAAGAAATTCGGCCTGGGATAAGGGGAATCTGGTTCAATATAAGAAGGGAATTCTGGCGGGAAGGGGGAAGAGGGGAATTCCAAAGGAGGGGGCAAGAGGGTCGATGTTGGAGGGATAGGAAGGAAAGGGGTTGACGAGGAGGTTAATTCAAGGATCAAGCAAGGGGGTTGAAAGTTGATAGAGAGTGAAATTTGGTTTGGGGAGATTGAAATTGTTGAGAGGGTTGGAGGAGGTAGGATATGGGAGGATAAGGATAGGAGTTCTGCAATTTTGCTTAGGTCAAGGTCCGATAAGGCTGCAGGAGATGGAAATCGGATTAGGGAGGAAGTGGTTGGCGGTTTGGGTGGATTGGAAAGGTTTGAAATGGGACCCAGATCAAGGGAAAAGTCGTGGGGGGTTGAGTTTGGGCTGGGGTGTAGGTTTGGGCTGGGATGAGGCAAAGGAGCATTTTTACGGTGGGTGAAAGGGTTAGGAATTGGGCCAGCTTTTCGAATCCAAGTACAGGTGGGCTTGGGAGAAGATTTTTTACCGCGTCTGGTCGAAAGGCTGGATGGTACAAAATCTGTTTCGTGGTTTAAACGCGGCTCGGGATTCGCGTCCCCTGCCAGCGTGCATGGCACTGTAGATCTCGGACTTTGCACGACCGCTGCGCTTCCGGTTTGGGGAAGATGAAGCGTCTTCCGGGTTGGGTTCGGGAGAACGTTGGTGCCTGAGCCGCCGAACCCCGTCCCGGGGCCAGACCAAACTTTGACGAGGCGCACTTTGCCCCCAAATCTCACCGGAATCTCCTTAGGAATTCTTCCTGAACTCTCGATCTTTATCCTGATTAGCGGAGAAGACCAAGAACTCCAATCCACGTCAAGGAATTTGCCACAGAAATCGCCCAGCCTCCTGCAGAGTTGCAAGCTCCTGATATGTAGAGGGATGTCAGAAACAATGATCCAGAGACCCTTTGGTAGGGGAGAAGAATCCTGCCCCTTCTTTTGAGAGAAAGACTCAGACCAGAAATCCAAGGAGACGACTAGATTTTGGAACCGACCTCCTCCAATGTTGAAAATCCGGTTTGCATCTCCCCGAGAGGGGCAAACTAGCAGCCACCGTCCGTCACCAGCATACTTAATCTCGTGGTTCTGAGACACAGCCCACTTAGAAGTCGCCCAAGACCGGAAGGCAGGGAGTCTGATATCCTAGAAAGTGTCACCATTCCAGCCCTGAAAGGAGACCACGAGACATCGTGCAAGCATATCCAAACGTTCCTGAACTCCAGCGTTTCCCACATCGATAACTTTAACATCTCCTTCCACTATTATTCTCGCCTCCCCTTCAGGATAGAAGTCTCTAACGCGAACAACATCGGCGTAAGATTTATGGGGTTGAATCTGGCCATCGGCAACCGTGCTAACAGGGTATTCAAGGGAGCTTTGACAAGATTGTAGTAACTTGATAAGCTTGCGCCAGCCGCTTTGATTATTCTCCAGAGGAATGATAACATAGAACGACAACTCCGCTCTAACAGACTCCGAAATCTTCAGGAAGTAACCTCTCCTGTTCTTCGACTTTCCGATGTGGATAACTCTGTACCCGCTTCTTTTGACATTACGATGTGGGAAGGTCCACCCATTCAGTTCAGCTGTTTGAAGAGCACTGATCATCCAATCCATCTGTGAAGAGTCAAACATTACATGATGCTCCTTGCCGGACAGATCCGACACCGATAACTTGAACATATTGCCGTTCCTGCCACAACCAAACCCTACAGACACATGCTTGGACCCGAACTCTAGACCGATAGGATTTCTAACCAGGGTTGCGTCATGCTCCTTTCCCCTGGAAGCCTGGTACCTGCAAAAAAAGGAAGAAGAAGACGAAACCTTGCTCTCACGCTCAATTCTCACTCTCTCTAGTTTTCTCTCTCATCCTTGCCCCTCTATTGGTTCAGTATCATATTAAACTAGCACTGTTAGCGTATCAAAGCGATGGGTACCAGTACCTCAACTACCACTAAGAATGGTACGACTCTTACGAATACCAGTGGATCATAACAACACCAAACAAGCATGACAAACAATAAAGACAGGCCTGCATGTGACTAATTCCAACGTTGCAACCCAAAAACAAATAACAGTAATGTAAATAAACCTAACCTCCGATTGTCTTCACGTGCGCAGAAAGGAACGACGGCGGAAGTAGGTGGTTCGCCTACGCACATAACAAGAAGGAGATAAAAACCTAAGTTAGCAAACCAGATATCTATAGCAAAAGATGAAGTGGGGAGGAGCGGCAGAGCCAACGAATCAGTCCGACAAAGCAAGCGTCAACGGAGACCGATCCATGCAAAAGTTGTAGTCGTACCTGAATCAACAAAGTCTTCGCCGCCGCCAAAAACGATCGGAGAAAGTGGAGACAGAAGTATTGATAGGAGAATGTGGATACAAAAGTATTTGGGAGAAATGGTAGAAAGAGTTTCTGTGGGAGGAGATGGAGAAAAAAGGGTACCAGTGGGCGAAATGAAAGGTTCGGCGGGGAGACGAAAGGTTCGGCGGGGAAGATGGCTGATTACTCTCCCCCCACCGATTTCTTTGCCTTTTCAAAAAACCCGCTGACGTCAGCGAACTAGGGGAGCACAATCCAGTGCGGTAGCTCTCCTTTTTGCCCCTGCCCAACTTCAATCGTTAGATGGAGGAATAGGGGAACGGACGACAACGAGGGAGGAAGCGAGATTGACAACCCCCTTAGGGGTTGTCACGCTAACCTTTTCCTATCTCTGGAGGAAACACCTCTTGTCCTTCCATATTCCCACCGGATGCATGCACTTATTCATCTTGGTGCTCTTAATGGTGGACAACATTGTCCAGCCGCCGTTTATATCTTCAAAATCCAATGTCACCCATGTCTGCAACTCATTGGGTGCAAGACGATCAATACTGTCGTCGGAAAATATGACAATGGTTGAGCCTTTGACCAAGGAAACGGATCTCACGGAGAAGGCTGTCTGCATCGATGCATCAGGATATATTAAATGTACATCCTCAAACTATTCACTCCTCATATCAAACGAAGTGAACTCCAGCGATGGTCTCCACCAGTAGCAGAATCTACCATTATCAGATGGCATCGAGTATTTGAGTGTGTGAGGATAACTATGAGCCTTCTGAATTGCAAGAATCCTCCATGAATCATTTTTAAGGTTGTAGACCTCACTAAATTCATCGATGTCCTCATCAGCAGTAAAGCAAAGCAGAGTCCGAACGACTTTGTAGTCATTCTTTTCGGGGTCGAAACCAAACCCGATCGCCTCACACCTCCGGGCATACGCATTCCCACCCAAAGTTGAAATCGGCAGAAGCTTCGTCTGCGCCGTTGCTGGATTCCAAAGAATGATATTCGATAAGCCACTGCCATCTCCATCGGCAAGGCAGAAGACACCCTTATAGCAGCAACGAACCTCGAAGTTACCGGAAACCAATTCTAATTCTTCCAGTTGAGTCGGACCGGAGATGAGACGGAGCGTCCGATGAGAATGTAGAGAGTAAACTGACCTTCCGTTCTGGCAGCGCTGGATCAGAATCTGAGGATCGTTCCAGAGGATCGCTAACCACCTGTGTCCATCCGGACCTTCCCCAGGGAAAAATTTGTCAATCATTCGATTCCACACATGGTCGAATTACTCCTCTGTATCAACGCTATACATCAGGCAATGAATCTCGCTTTTCAGACCAGATTCATATAGTTTTGGACCCAAGTTCTTCATCCCATTTTGGTGTAAATGCCATGTGCAAAGACCATGGAAAGCTTCAGGAAATCACTCTTTTATGCCTAGAGAAATTGCTTTTGCTTGGTCTGTAAAGATTGATATGGGTTGCTTGCCCGACATGCAGCTAAGGAAACTCCTATAAAGCCAAGAAAAAGAAGAAGCAGTCTCGTCGTACATAAGCCCCGCCCTGAAAATACACAACTCTCTATGATTGTTGAACCCCACAAATAAACCTGCAACAAATGGTAAGCAATTATAAGAAGCACTAGATAAGTACCAATGACAAGTACCAGAGCATCACTGAGTACCAAAAAAGTACTTAAATGGTACCAATGACATACCTAATGGTCTGCAGCTTTGGTTAGTCCTGTAGGTCGTGTCAAAACTAATAGTGTCGCCAAAACATTCATAGTCAAACCGCATTCTACCATCCGCAAAAAATACGGACAAAATCTCATCATCATCGTCCACTTGGATCTCGTAGAAAAAAGATGGGTCACATTTTATCCGATTCTTGAAATATTCGTGGAGAACTCTTGCATCACCCTTCTCCATACGCCTGCTCCTTGCCTTTTGCGTACAATTCTTTAGATCCCTCTTTGTGAAGGGTAGATTCTCCTTTCCGCCGGCCATAGCAGCAAAAGAATCATACGAGTTTTGAACAGGAATCCCCGTGCAAGCGTTTATTTAAGCAAAGTATGCATATTCTGATGACACCTCCCGATTTGAGCGCATATAACGTCTTGAAAATGCATTGTGCATTTCATGCACATGATTGTCTGTCCACCGGTAAATCTTATACTTACCGGAAGCCCGCTCGTAGCTCCACATTGCAATAGCGTTGCAACCAAAACGAGTCTCTCCCCTTTCTCTCTCATTTGGAGGCTCTGAGTCCACGACCTCTTCTGCATTCTTCGGGTCGAGCCTGCTGCCTTTTTTGTACCCTTGTTTGCTGCACGAACCTCCAAAGTAAAAAACGAATGGTTCGGGGAAGTATGACCTTTTCTTTTTAACTGCTCCAACAACTCTTGACGAAAAGCCTCTTCCATGAGCAAAACTCTTGTAGAAACGATTAATTTCATCCTGGTTCTGGAAACGTAAGTGATTCCATGTTGATTTGTCTGATGGAACGATGGATGTCAACACACCTACATAGAAAGAACAGATACATTAGTAAGTGATTATGACTACAAATGAACCTGCTACATGACTACCACTAGCTAACTGGAACTATAACTACTGGTACATGTACCACTACAAATGTACCCATACATGTACCAGTACATGACTACCACTAGCTACCTTGAAATCCCAGTAATACTTGTACCAAATCAGTGGTACTTGTGTCATTTTCCGGTACTGCTGTACTGGTACTAAAGCAGTGGTTGTAGTCGAGCAGAAGAGTCGGATTCGAGCCCCTATGAAACAATGACAAGAACCCAAAGACAATAAACACAGTGTCAGACCATTCCAGCGTTGCAACCAGACTTCATCAGGCTAACCAACGATTCACAATGCAGCTTTACTAGCATGACTCGAAGACTCGACTAACCGAAATTATATAAGACAGCGAAGAGATATCATAAAAGCACAACATTAGATCCTCAGAAGTGGAATGACAGTATACGAAATAGAGCTCAATCAGGACTCCACATGACACGATTCACTGATGTTGTATAATCATTAGCAACAAATTCCTACAAATGCAAATCGATAACCCTATTGAATATGCTCCAAGATCTCATACCATTACTTCATCACCCATGTTTGTGCCAACAGAAGGGACAAAAGCACTTGCTATGGAAAGCCCTAAATGCACTGAATAAGCAAGCAACATATGAACCAAAAAGAATCTTCTCAAACATCGAAGTAAGTTGAGCTTCAGGAACAAAAATGTCATCACGAGAACCTGAAACGTAATTCTTTCCATCAAAGACATGAAATGTACCGGTCAACAGCAGCTCAGATGGCAGAGGACTTAGTATCCAAGGTATCCAAATTTGATTCATTTTCCAAAAATTGACAAGCAAAGACTTAAGTTTACCCAATCCACACAGACGCTTACCAAGAAGTAAAATATGCAGCAATGGAAGGAAGTCCATACTCTTCAATGCTGGCCCTTAAGTAAAACCATAGCACATTCATAGGCAGATCATCAGACGAGTAGGACGGAACTAAGCTCGTGGCTGGGGCCGACATATGCAACATGCAGATTATTAACCTAATAGCGTTGAAAAATAACAACAAGATTGAAGCACTCCATGACTTGAAACAGAGGTAGGAGCTCAGTTTTCATGGGATGGAACACGCATGGAAGCACAAGTAAGAAAGCAATCTCCATGCATACTTGTCAATACTTCATCAAACGATGGAAGCACCACCAAAGATAGTAAGCAGCAAGGGATACCTAAAGTTCTCTAACCAAACGACTGCAATATCCGGGTGATTTTCCCATGCAGAGCAGACCCATGTTATCTCCCATTAGCCCGCGTGCGGCAAACCAAGTAATTATATGCTTAAATTCCGTCCCACCGAGAACCCAAGAAATAGAGCTTTGAATTTAACCATCCCCGGAACCCACCAATTGGTCTGCCCTCCCTCCATCAATATTCCCTATTAACTGATGCAAATAAGAGAAATGAAAAGAAGCCTCTCATAGAGTATGATTTCCCTTCAGTCCAAATCTGTAATTGCTATAGAGAATTGAGAGAGAAGTATTTTTTGGTTGAATTACTCTTTTTAAGTATCCTGATTCTTATAGATAAGTAACTACAATTTTCAATTTTCATCAAGTTATCAATTTTCATTACACAAATTTTTTGTAAGGTACGTTAACTTTTTCACATCATGCTATCAATTTGCACTACACAAATTTTTTGTAAGATAAGTTAACTTTTCCAATATTTTCTATAACTTGATTTCATTATCAGATCGCACACTGCGAAAGATTTATGGATAACCATTTGATGACATTGTAGTTTAATCACATGTAATATTTTCTATAATTTGATTTTATTATCAGACCGCACACTGCGAAAGATTTACGTATAACCATTTGATGACAATTACGTACATTATAAATAGATTACGTAAATCTCACGGAGGGTCCTTATGTATCAAATAAACAAACATATAATGTAAGTCTTTCATGATGTGAAAATTCCTAAATTTAACTAAATTGTTGATGATCTAATCAATTTACATTATGCAAAGAATTTGGAAGGTTAGTTATTTTTACATAACAGTTTCATCAAATTTACTTTTCAACAATCCATGCCCTTATATTAACTATATTATTTTATTATTACCTACTATATTCAACATCTCATCAATTTGCTTTATGCTTTTAAAGTTTCAGTAAGATAAGTTAATCTTACATAATAGTTTAATCAAATGTGAGACTCATCTATAACTTGATTTAAATATTAAATCACAGTTACAGAAGAATGTAACATCATTCTATAACAATTGCGTAAATCTTACACAGGGTTAGTTATTCCTTATGTATCCATTAAAAAAACATACACATAAGGCTTTTGTAATGACTAAGACTATACGCAAAACTTTATTGAGGAATAATAATTTCTTATGTATCAATTAAACAAATATATTATGCATGTCTTTCATGATATAAGTTTGAATGAAAATTCATAAATTTAACTAAACCGTTGACGATCTCATCACTTTGTATTGAATAAATATTTTCTATGGTCAATTATTTTTACTAAAAAGCTTCATCAAATGTATTTTCATAACTTAATTCACTTATTATTAACTAAAATTATTTTATTATTATTACCTACTACCTTCAACAGCTCATCAATTTGCTTTACGCAAATTAAAGCTTCCCTAAGATAATCAAATATGAGATATGAAAGTTGAATGGATAATTGTTTCTTACAAATTAATCAAATAACCATGTTACGCAAGCCTTTGGTAACAATTAAGACACTACATAAATTTATAAAAGTGTATTAATCGAACTATTTTGTAAATAGTTTTCTCACCAAAAAAATAATTAATTTATTACCGCCGCGAAGCGCGGGCCAAAAAACTAGTATATTTTATAAGCCGTGCTAAGTAAATCTAAAGATGTTAGAGTTAATATTTTTGGAACCACATTAAATATACAAAACAACCAGCATGAAAAAATAGACACTTATAAAAAAAAATTCCCAAAACTAAATATGGTCAACAATCAAGCACATAACTTATCGTTGGTTTAACATCTTGTTGACTAGCACATTTTACATTTTTTTTCTTATTTGGCTTGAAATGGTCGTATTATTATTTTTCGTATCTTGCTATTTTTATTTAATATCTTTGAAAAAAATCAATCACATATGAAAATGAACAACCAAACCGCTAATTTCAAGAGAAAATTCCACCATCCACAAACTCCAAAACTACAACATAATAATAAACAGAGTATATGCTCTGTTCCTACAAAATCCTCTGTTTCCCCGGTCTCCTCCGTCTAAACCCCATTTTCAGCTGGCCTCTTCCGGTTGTTGAACACCAAAAGCACATCACTCAAATACCCACTCTGCGAAACCTCGCCATTCCCGTTGCTCTGTTCTCCCCACTCGTAATAACTCCCCTGCTGCTGCCAACCCCCATTTTCAACGACAGCATTGTTACCAAACCGCATCGTCCCGTTTCCGCAGCCGTTTTGCTGATAGTTCGTGTTGAAGCCGGGCGCCTGGAAGGCGGCAGCCGGCGGCGGCGGCGGGAGAGGAGGAGGATAGAACGATTGGTTGTATTCATGTAATGGGTAGGATTGGTACAGGGGAATTGCTCCGTTGATCGGTTGGTTTTGGTGATGAGGAAAACAGGGTTGTTGATTATGGTGATGGTGAGAGGTGGAGAAGCCATTAGTGACGAGCTTTTGGTTTTGAGGAGGAGGAGGAGAAACAGAGGAACAACCGCTGATGGATTGATCGCCATTCCCGCCATAGATGACTTCTTCCTCTTCCGGGCTTGAAGATCTTCTGTAGCCAGTCTCCTCCTTGTTGGTTCCCTTCTGATCAAAATTGTACACCACACATAGCGCCGTCTCCGTCTGCAACAACAAACAAATTTTGTAGTAGTATGTATTCTCCATATATAGAGACAAGAAAAAGGTACAAAACTCTGTTCTAACAGAGATTATCATTATGCTGCTGATGTGACGGTTTCTGGTAGTCATTACCGAAATTGTCACATCAGCAACATAGGGGAAAAAATACTAAACCATCGAAAAATGGCGACATAGATATGACATATTTGGACGTATTATGTGACACATACAAGACGACGAGAATTTTGTGATTCGAATTAGAGGTAAAAACTCACATTGATGCCACCGCTGATTTTCGTCACCGTTGGAGAGATCAAACGATATTCTTGCATGAGCCATTTGGTCTTGAGCTCCTTCTTGGAGGCATCACCATTGCTGTTGTTGTTGTTGTCGTCGTCGCCATTGGAAGGTTTACCGCAGGGTTTCCCATGAAAGGCCAGTGAGGCCTTGGTTGCAACTTTCACTCCCTTGCTGTTCTCGATGTGGTCGGTCTCTTTGCTTTTGCTCCCGCTCAGTTTCCAGTGCCCACTTGGAGCCACCCCTCTCTCCATCTTCTTCCCCGACTCGTTCTGCCACTTCAGTTGCGAGAATATGTACATCTTCCCGTCGTGGTGACGATAACCTTCACTCACTATTGTTGTCAAAACGAACAATGTAAAAAAAAAAAAAAGAAGGAAATCACTTAGTTGTAATAACTCTTTAAGTTCATCGTATTAATTGAACCAAATCTTCAAGAAACCCTAATGGTTTAATATTTAGAGATTAATTAATCTGACCTTTGCTTTCGTTAATGACAAACTAAGTCCACCCTAAACTACTTTCAAATAGATCATACATCACGAAGGTTTACTATTTACCCCAAACATAATTGCAAACCCTAACTTACTAATGTTCGAAACCAAAGATCAACAATAACGATACGAAGTTTCAACCTTATCAAAAAAACGATACGAAGATTCAAATATTGGACCGACATTTCGTACAAAAGACCTAAAAGACCTTTGGAGAAAACGAAGTAAGAGCGAGAATTAGAAGGAGTGATATCAGACCGTACTTGAATGCAGATTCTCAGGATGGCATGTATACACATCAAAATCACACGTGATCCCCGAAAATTTCTCCTCTGGACTAGCGATTTTGGTCTCGAGCAAATCCACCAGATCAGTATCGCTCGGAGCAAATTTCACTCCTATTGGAAGGATTTTCGTCATTGTATCCCATTTGAATCCTTGCAAACATCTCTTCAGCTCGTCAACAGCTTCTTTCCCAGCCTTCTGTTGATTCTGTTCTCCTTCTTTTTCTACTTCTTGTGGATGGACCAAATTCTGGTCCATGTCGACCGTAAGCTGATTGTTGGAACCTAGACCGTGCAATTTTTCTGTTTATTACAGCAAAACGTATTTCAGGTAATATATATGCTGTTTGATCCTTATAACACACGTGGTAAACATATATATTTTTAACTAATTTGAAAAGGATTAGAATTTCTATTTTCTTATGGTGTTATTACAAATATATAATATATAATTGTATAATATATTTTTCTTTCTCGAGAAAGTAGCGTGTGTATTGAGAAATTATGGATGAATTTATTTAATTAATTATCAATCTGGATAACTGTTCTGGATTTTATTAATACACGATGTCTGACTGAAAGAAAATTAAAAAAGAAAAAGTGTACATAATTATTAGAATAATTAAGACACAAGTTTTTTACTATTGCATACGAAGAATCCGGGGTTACCTTATTAAGTTGGGTTACTGTTCCTAAACGTCCTTTTAAATTCTCTGCGTCCGGGTATACTGTACCGCATGCAAACCTCCTGGTCGTTGGTCGAGCATCTCATTTGTTCAATCTCTTTATAATTCATGTGGCAGCCTGTGCACTTTACCCCGTATGAGCCCATGGCAGCTTCCCAAGCATGTCAATGTTTTACTCTCTTCATAATGAAAGTGCTATACATTAGGTTGGCCAAGAAAATAAAAAATGATCCTTCTTTTTCAACCATAAGTTTTTAGACAACTACTTGATAGTTTTTCATTTCATATTACGACATAGTTTTTCAACATCTCATCAATTTGCATTATGATTTTTTCTAAGGTAAATTTTTTTATTGTACTTTAATCAAATGAGACTTTTCATAACTTGATTTTATTATAATACCACACTTTACGAAAGATTTAGGTAACATCATTCTATAACAATTACACACCTTACAAATACCTTAAGTAAATCTCACAGATGGATAATTGTTCATTATTTATCACAAACATATTATGTAAGTCTTTCACGGTAGTATTTTTAATGAAAACTCCAAAATTTATTAACTAAAATGACGATCTCATCAATTTATTACACAAGTTTTGTAAGATAAGTTATTTTTACATATAGTTTAATCAAATGTGATACATTTCATAACTTAATTCATTTATTAGCTAAAATTTCTTTGTTAGTATAATTATATTCATCACACCAATTTGAATTAGTCAAATTAAAGTTTTTGTAGTCTAATCAAATATGAGACATATCTGTAATTTAATTTCATTATTAGACCACATGTTATAAATAATTCTTTCTATAATAATTTTAAAACATATTACCTAGAACTTATGAAGGTTGAAGGGATTATTACTTTTCGTGTATCAATCAAACAAACATAGTACGTAAGCCTTTCGTAAGACACTAAGTAATTGATGAAAGTGTATTAATTAAACTATTTTGTGAATAATTTTATTTTAGTTATCATTAAATGAGTGAATAAAATTTTATTATCAAAAAAAATTATTACTTGATTACCGCCGCAAAGCGCGGGTCAAATAACTAGTTGTAAACTTATTGGGACATGACATAAAAGTTTGCGTAGGATAACCAAGTCAATATTAATCAACCTCCCTTATGGCTTTGAGCTAATTACTCATCAATTAAGCAAGTGGCTTCTTTAACCTTGCCAAGACTTGACTGATACTCGGTCTCTCTCGCGGCGAGTCTGAAGAACAAGCGAGGCCTATATCGAGAATTGAAGTCGCGACCTTCTCCGATACTCGACCAATGAGCAGTTCATTGAGTAGAATCGGATCCAAAACTTCATGCAGGAGCTGATTCTGTTGGGATAAACCATTTCGGACAAAGTTCTGAAGGTTCAAACCATCTCTGAAAATCTCATCGGTCGGTCTTCTTCCAGTGAATAGTTCAAGAAGGAGGATCCCGTAACTATAGACATCACCTTGGGTCGATACTTCGTTTCCCATACCGTATTCTACAATCGAGTAAAAAACAATCATATCAGGAAATGAAAAATTAGCTAAAGGAAAATTCATCATATACCACTCTAACACATCCAAGAGGAGCAATTACCTGGTGGAGCATAGCCAACTGTTCCCTTTATGCCAATGGAGCTCGAAATCGGGCTCGTTGCAGAAGGATTGTTGAATGATGACAGAAGAAATCTTGCTAGCCCGAAATCACCAACACGACCTGTCTTCTCCTCGTCGAGAAGAATGTTACTCGGTTTGAGATCACAATGAACAATAGGCGTTTCACATTGATGGTGAAGATAATCTAATGCATAAACTATGTCGACTGCAATATTTAACCTCTGGCGGAAGTTCAAGCTCCTTGGAGCCTCGTCAGTACTTTCCACTGGATGCAACCAATCTTCCAAGCTTCCATTCTCCATGAACTCATAGACGAGAGCCTTGAAATCATTCCCTCGATGATCGATTCCTGAACACACCGTCACAATCCTGACAAGATTCCTGTGCCTGATGTTCTTCAGGGCTTCACACTCTGCCACGAAACTCTTAAAAGCTCCACGACGCTGAAGGTTGAACACCTTCACAGCTACCATCCCTCCATTGTCAAGAACTCCTTTATACACAGAGCCAAAGCTTCCCAAACCGATCAGAGTTGCTGCTGAAAACCCATCTGTAGCTTTGAAGAGCTTCTGGTAAGATAGCTGCATTTCCAAATCGCCAGCTGAAACTGTATCTGGGTTTCCTCTCTTTCTAATCCAAAAGATAAGCAAGCAGGATACCATGAAGGTCAGGAACAGCAGAACCGATATTATTGGTATAATGATTTTCCACTTCAGACTCAGTTTCTTCTTTGGATGCAGGAAGCTGCCACAAGGTGGAAGGTTAAGTTCAGCAGTACCTCCACAAAGCTTGATATTTCCCATGATTGAAATGATGCTGCCATTTTTCAGGACTCCCCCTTGTGGCACTTCACCCTCGAAATCGTTATACGACATGTTCAATAGCTCCAAATACTTCATGTCCTCGAAAAATTTCGGAATTGTACCAGATAAGTTGTTGACTGAGACATCAAAGTGCTCCATGCCTCTCAATGAACTTAGAGAAGAAGGAATGAGTCCTTGCAGGAGATTGCCCTGTAAGTTCACCGACTCCAATCTAACACAACTACCAAGACTACGAGGAATACTTCCTGACAACATGTTATGAGACAGATCCAACATACCCAAGTTTTTCAAGTTCCCTACTTCTGCCGGTAGGGCACCAACAAAGTGGTTTCGAGATAAGTTCAAGACCCGTGCCAAGGAAGTAATGCCCATGACTTGTTGAGGAATGACACCATTGAGATTGTTGTCAGAGAGGTCCAAATGTATTAGAGTTCGACACTTGCCAATCGCGGCAGGAAGATCTCCATGTAGGTCATTAGTACTTAGATCAAGGTAAAGTAATCTGGTCAAGTTTCCAATAGATAATGGAATGTACCCTGAAATGCTGGTGTTGAACAATATCAAGGCCTCTAGATTCCTCAGGTCCCCAATGCTGGATGGAATTGTACCTGATAAATTGTTGTCAGATGCCTCAAACGCCTGCAACCTGACAAGGTTCTGTATCCCAGGCGGAATGCATCCGGATATTCTTGTGGCACTCATGTACAGAAACCTGAGGCGAGTTGACAAGTTCCCTATCTGCTCAGGGAAGCTGCCTCCGAGGTTGTTGGAGCCAATCATCAAGAACTCCAAATTTGTGGCATTGGTCAGAGAAGAGATGAAGCTCAAATCATCAGCCTCACCACTCCCAAGAGAGTTGTCTTGGATACCAAAGGACCGAAGGTGGAGAGGGTTTGCCATACTGGGCACACTCCCAGTGAAGTGGTTGGATTGCAGCAGAAGCGAAACCAGATTCGAGGCATTGGAGAAAGAAACTGGAACGCTACCGGTGAACTGGTTACGAAACATACCAAAGTCCCGCAAATTTGGAAGTGTCACGCCGATGTCCCAAGGAAGATTGCCATGGAGTCGGTTCATGCTGAAGGCTAGCTCCGTAAGAGAAGAAATGTTGAAAATGGAAGCAGGGATTTCACCGGATAAGTTGTTGAGCTCCATTGTCAGGCTGCGAAGACGCTTCAGTTGGCCTAAAGCGTCAGGAACTCCCCCACTGAATGAGTTTACGGATGCCTCAATTATCTCAAGAGACGACAAGTTGCCAAAAGAGGGAGGGATGTTGGAAAAAATCCCAGAATACGCTAGTTATTAAAAAAAATTCCCTAAATACAGTACTTATAAAACTAATTCCCAAAATACAGCAGTTTCAACATCACTGTCTTTGTCTAAGACAGTGATGTTGATCACCGCTTTTGTCCAAAGCAGTGAAGCAGCGGGGTACGCATCACCGCCTTGGACAAAAGCGGGGAATGCATCATCGCTGTGGTCAAAAGCGGTGATACGTTCCCCGCTTTGGACATCAACAGTGAAGCCATCACCGCTGTTGTCCACAGCAGTGATTGCCCCCACGTTTTACACAGCCCTGGTAGGTGGACAGGTAGGTAACAGCTACCTAGCCATCACCGCTGTTGACTAAGGCGATGATGGTTCACCGCCTTTGTCCAAAGCGGTGATTGCCTCCAATTTTTCCTATAAAAAGCCACGCCCCCTCTTCCCTCCTGCTGCCAAACACTCCTGCTGCCAAACAGAAAATTAGTACCAAAATTATCGTTTTCGCAGCTGGTTCCTCCGTAGTTTACTGCTCAAGAAACTCGTCGGGATTCGGTATGTTAGAATTATGTATTGTTTACATTTTGATTATGTGCTAGAATTAGGTATGTTAGAATTATATATTTAGATTAATGATATATGTTAGTTAGTTAGTACTGAATTTAGATTAATTTGTTTAGTTATCATGATAGATCGGGATTGAGTATGTTATAAGTATGTATTTTTTACATGTTGATGTGTTAGTAATTATACTGTTTGTATTTAGTGAATTGCGGTTATTGGAAAATATGTTATGATATTATTTAGTTTAATTATGATATGATAGATGTTAGTTAGCTAGTTATGAATTTAGATGAATTTGTTTAGTTTTCTCATAATAGATAAATTAGTTGCATTTTATTATCGCTTTGGATGATAT